CAACTTGCTGCAGAACCCGGGTCTCCCGAGCTCGGGCAGAACACACAGGCGGAGCTCTGGGGTGTGGGGGTACTAGACCTGGCTGGGAGCCGGCAGGACCCCACGGGACTCCCGCGCAGCCGCTCCTAGGGGTTGGGGACTGAGACCCTTTGCAGCCAATAACCTCCCATTGCGGGAAGCCCCTTCCCCAGTCCCGTTCCCTCACCTGCAGGCTGGGCAGGTGGGAAGGCAGGTACCCTCCTGGCTCTCCGGGGTGGGCAGCTGGGCGTGCGTCAGGACCTCCGTCCCCCAGGACGCCCCCTCTCCTCCCCCAGGCCCAGTGCCCTGTGCGTCCTGGCCTCACACCATCCTTGGCTTGCCCTCTCCCTTCCTTTCCTTTTCTCTAATATTTGCGAGAGGGTGCGAGCGCTCAGGGAGACAGAGAGAGCGAGCGGCCAGGCACGGCACCACCACGGCTCAGCCCGCCACAGCCCTCCCGGCCACCTCACCCTCCTTCTGGGATTCTGGACGCACACACTGGCACGCCTTGTTCCCAGGACAGACGGGAAGGGAAGAGTCAGCCAAGTGGGATCCAGCCGCCTTGACCGTTGCCACCCACTGTCCCATCCTGTCTCCTGACCCCGCCCCCTCGCCAGATTCTGGGAGGAAACAGAAAAAAAAAGAGCAGTCCACCAGGCTGGGGGACGCCGCGCGCCCCTGGTAGGGCCCTTCCCCAAGGCCAGCCAGGAGGGCCCCAGCCCTGGCCCCAGGACAGAGTGGTGGGGGAAGGGGAGTCTCCTCCAAGTCGGCGCTGACGCCTCCGCCAGGCTTTCCTTCCAGGTGGGGCACCCTGACCTAAGGAAACTGGGCCTCAGTGTGCCCAGGCAGGTCCCCAACCCCTCCGCCCTGGGTCTAGGGGGATGCAGGCCCCAAACCCAGCCTGTGGCACCCTCTGCTGTCGCCTCTGAGAACCACGTTCCTGCCTGCTCCCTGGGGGAGGCTGGGCACCCTCCTGCCCTGGCCTGGTCCCCCAGAAACCGGCTGTCCGCCCCACCCCGGCAACACCCTGCCCACCTTTCTGGTGGCAAATCGGGGGACCGTTGCGGTGCCTGGCACAGGGTGGGGGGGGGAGTGCGTGGTGTCAGCCATAGCCCCTAGCCCTGGAGGGGCTCCCAGCCAGGTGGGGGGTGGTCAGGTCTGCAGGAGTGAGGAGCCAGGACTGCGCAGGGGGGTGGAGCCAGGGGGAGGTGCGAGACAGGAGCCCGCCCATGTGACCCCGGCCATGGGGGCGCCGGCTACACGCAGGGCCTGCCTGGGCATGGCTGAGCTCTGTCCCGGATGGTGGCGGGAGGCGCAGAGGGCCTGGGCAAGGCCGGGGCTGAGGCGGTGGTCAGCTGCCCACTCTGCTCCGGTGGCCTCAGGATGGGCATGGGAGGGGGGGGGCAAAAAAAGCCCTGAGGCCGCCTGCCCCTTCCCCAGACCCCGTTCCACCTGCAGCTTGACTGGGCCAGCCCCCTGGAGACGCAGTTCGACGTGCTGGCTTCTGTGCTGCGGGCACACGCCTGGGAGGACGTGGGCCTGGCGCTGTGCCGCGTGCGTGACCCCAGTGGCCTGGTGGCCCTCTGGACGGGCCGGGTGGGCCGGGCCCCGAGCCTCGTGGTGGACCTGAGCCGGCCGCACCCCGGAGCTGCGGGGCTGCGGGCACGCCTGGCCCCGCTCCGGGCC